AGGTACTGTCTAATGTAATGTTATTTATGGCTAAATTTCTTTCATGTTCAGGTACTGTCAAATGTAGTGTTACTTGTGGTTACACTTCTTTCATGTTCAGGTACTGTCAAATGTAGTGTTACTTGCAGTTACACTTCTTTCATGTTCAGGTTCTGTCAAATGTAATGTTATTCATGGTTACATTTTGTTGAACATAAAGCTGTTTCTTCACTAATATTCAGATGTTTTACTTGAGGTAAACATAAGGAGGGCTTAAACTCCATCTTTGTCATTGAAGCCACTAAGCTAACAAACTGGTATAGTTACTTGTTAGTTTCATAAAAGTCTAAAGTCAGCCTACAAATTTAAACACAGGAGCCATGTTTTTTGCATTTATTTATATTTCTAATTTTGAGTCTTATTTATTAGCTTATTTTTCAATGGTCTATTAAGTATTCTTCATAACATACACAATCCTTAACACACGCTGTATCAACAGCACAACATGTGTGAATACACCAGTCTCGGTGTTGAAATGTTCAATATCAAAATCCATTACGTGCACAAAGTAAATTGTTTTCCCAATAAAACTTTTTCTTTCAAAACTATCAATAAATCAAATAATATGAGTATTCTAATTATATATATAATATCAGTGTGTTTCATGCATGTACTCACAATATTTAATTACAAAAAATAGTAATTTTCCTCTGAGAATAACATCACAATATTGAAATTGCACCATTATATCAAGATTACTACTGACACACAATTATTACTTCATAATAATTCAATGAAAAAAATTTCAAATTTCATCTATATTTTAGTGAATACAAATACAGTCCACTCAAAAACCAGAATTATACCCCCATAAGAAAAAAAATCAACTTATAAAACTGAACTTTATGTAAATTCATGGATGATAAACATAAACTTTAAAAAGTTTGTTTATTATATGTTGCTAAGCAAGTACTGTACTCACATTTATTTTTCAACCAGCATTAATATTTGTTGAAAATACTTTATTTTGATTTTTAAATATCATTTTAATCTTTTATATGATTTAAAAGAATTTAAAATTGATGAATTATGGGTGCACTAATGGTTTGTTTGTCTTTAAGCACAAAGCTGAACAATTGGCTACTAGTGCTGTGCCTACCATAAGAATTGAGGCCTGCATTTTAGCATTATAAGCTCTCAAGCTTACCATTAAACAACCATAGGGAGGTAAGAGTACAGGAAAGAAACATATACATGCACATTTCAGACAATGTCACAGAATGTTACTTGCACTAATACACGTAGTAGTGTGTAATTATTTTTGTTGATTAAACACTGAGCAGTGTCAATCAAACAAAATGTTGTATTGTAATGCCAATATCTTATCCAGTGAAATATCAATATTACAATATACATATTTAGAGTTTATAAACTGAGTAACGAAGGAATAATTTTGAAGACAAAATGTAAACTGGAAAAAGAAACTACAACTGAGTTGGCATTAGCACTTTAATAATTGTATTATAATCTTACTATGTAATTTTATCATCTGACCAAAAACTGTTTTTTTATAAACTTCTGACCAAACCTACAACTATATTCTGTTAGTTAGCTTTGTGTGATTCAGATATTCTTGAAAAGCTACACAATGGCTATTTACGTCCATCATCCATAATTTTGAGCTGATGGACTAGAGGGAAGATAGCTAATCAACAGCAACAACCACCAACAATTAGGTTACTCAAACAGTGGGGTTTAAGCATCACTCATATCCACAGTCTGGCATGCCACCAATTAGGCCACATCTGGCCTAGGTTTTAGCACAGAAGTACTAATTTTAGAGTTCTCTAAGTACTGTTTAATGTAATAAATATTAAAGTTTTTCTAGAAACAGAAAAAGCCTAAAATCATTTTAAAATTGTATAAATAATTTTATAAATAAAAACATTCTACATGATCTAAATTGGATTTGTTGACAAATCTTGGTACAAACCCACATTTGTAAGTACAACAACCCATCCATGGAACGTATTTAAATATATATAAAATGAAGAAGAACATTAAGTTTAGTAAATATGATAAGATGGATGATAATGACTACTGATGTTATGCAAATCACCTATTTTTCTAACCAAAATAGTTATTTCACACTCAATACTCACTTAATAATTTTGATTTTCCTTCCAAAAAGCACAGTCATGATTCAGGGTGATGCATGATCTTCTGCCAATTCCAAAAACCTTTGCTGGGCCTTCTTCCAGTGCTTAGTTTTATTTGTTGGTTTTGTAGTAAAGGAGACACTTGTAGCACCTAGTCCAACTTTGGAATTTCTCATCTGTATCTGAATCTAAAGTGAAAGTAAAATGTTTGTTGATAAAAGAAAAACAAATTATAACCAAACAGAGAAAAGAACTTGTTTGAAACAGAATCTTCAAAAATAAAATACGGATTGATATTATTATGACTCTGTTTTAACCATTAATGGTAAAACAATGATTCTGTCTGGTTGAAAAATATTTTTCTATGCAATGTAAGTCCTGCATTCTTCTACATTGAAAACTATATTTTGTGAAGAATGGAGTAAAAAATCACAAAATAAAGTTGTGCTCATAAATATGAGCTTAAATTTTCATTATTTTCCAAAAATCATTTTCTGATTTTCAAAATGAAAAACTGTGTAAGAATTATATTCTTCTCCATTGAGATGTTTACTTTCAGCTGACAGGCTTGAGGTAAACATCTCAACTAAAAGTTTGTCAGAAATCATTTATACCTGGCTTATTTCAGTATTGATCTGTTAATGATAACTTATTTATTCATATCTTTATGTGAGTCAGCTGACAGGCTTGCTCACGTAAAAATGTGAATAAATAAGTTATCATTAACAGATCAGTATTGAAATAAGCCAGGTATAAATGATTTCTGACAAACTTTTAGTTGAGATGTTTACCTCAGGCCTGTCTGCTGACTCACGTAAAGATGTGAATAAATAAGTTATCATTAACAGATCAATATTGAAATAAGCCAGGTATAAATGATTTCTGACAAACTTTTAGTTGAGATGTTTACCTCAGGCCTGTCAGCTGACTTACGTAAAGATGTGAATAAATAAGTTATCATTAACAGGTCAAAATTGAAATAAACCTGGTATAAATAATTTCTGACAAACTTTTAAATTTTTTCTACTATTAAGTGCAATAAGAGCAAAACAGAAATAACCTATGCCAAACTGCTACTAGTCACTAAATTTCAAGTTCTTCTCTACAGTCTATCAGAGCACAGATGAATTTAAATCTTTGATTCATAGTTGCAATGTTTCAAGTAGCACTTCCAAATTATTCAAAATGTTAACTAAGTGTATATTTATATATGTAAGTATACAGTGATAACTACTTAGCTTTTTAATGCAATGAAATGTTCTCCTCTATTTCTTTAACAAAGCATTAAGTTGTTTATTCAACAACTGAAGACATAAAACAGTATATAAACATATATGTACTAATCAGGTTACTTGATCTTTAAATTATTAAAAACCCCTATCATGCACATTCATTGTTTTGTAAAAGGGTTTCCAATATATTTGATTAAAAAGCCTTAGTTTTAGAAAAGAAAGAAGCAAACATAAGGTAAACAAATCATCACATCTTACAAAAGAATGATGAAATCTTACTGTTTCTACACTCTAAAATAAACTACGTATTCCCTTCATGACACTTGGTAAAGGCAAGAACATCAACAGTAAAGTTAACAACACCAGTGATGCTACAGAAATCTCAGCTGAATTTGTACAAAGTTTTTTAGGTCTTGTTTATATATGTTTTTGATATTTGGGAATCGTAGTGAAATAAATTACTCAACTTATTCAACTACAAAAACGAGTTTGTGATTATAGGGTGTGCTCAATTCACCTCTCCAAAAAATGCCATGGATGTTGTTTTCCAGAGGATGTATTGAGTGGACTGGAACAGGAAGTTGGCATTAATTTTTTGTTTGTTTGAAGATGAGATTTATGATGATGTAAAGTGAAGATGAAAGAGTACAAGGTTTATTTCCAGGGATAACCTTTGTTTTTTAAATGACTATGTGATGAATGCTGTTGTACACGAAAGATAAACAAAAAATATTATTTGTGCAACATATTCACATTATGGTAAAAATATTTTAAGTACATTCTACATTAGTACACTTCCTCCACCATCTTGATAATGTCACTCTTCCCTTTGCATTACCTCCTGGTTTAGAACAGTCAGAATAACTCTGGAACACTTTTATGCATCACTTTACTGTTGTGCAGAAAGTTCAACACATTCATGGTGATGAACAGAGTATATCCTGATATTTCTGTACTGTGATTCTAACACTTTTGTGATAAATTATTTAGACATATCAAGTATCTACAGATATTAAGAAAACTTTTATAGTACGATAACACACACTGATTTCCATTTGAAATTACCACAAGAAAAGTTCAAGTTATATCACACATGACAAAAATTACTATGATTATAGAAAAAAACAAATACATAATTAGCTTTCGTTTTATGATAACAAACTTGTAAATGGCTTAAATTATTTTTATAAAAAAATTATAATTATTATTATGAAAATTATAGACAAATTCAAAATACTTGTTCTAGTTTTACTGAACTTGTTCCAAAAGTACTGAATTTTACTATTAAAACAATCATTTTCAGTATACATATTTTTTGTATCTCCAATTATAATACAATGAAATTTCATTGTTTAAAAGAAGAAATTAATTGTTTAATTGAATTGTGTTATACTGACAATCACATACTCCAGTTTTACAATATTATAACAATATTAGCTAAAATTATTTAGTATGTGCCTCAGGTTTTATTATATTACTTTAATGATGACTTGAAAAAGAGAACTTACTGGCTCTGTCTTTCCTGTTTGACATTTACCCAAACTCTGTCCTTCAGACCATCCCATTTTCTTAAGAAGTTGAAATCCTTTATTTTCTGGAGGAAGTGGTCTATAAATCATCAAGGAATAATGTATGGAAACAAATTCTTTCACAATCCACGAACAAAAAAAGGATTAGCTAAGTAAGATAGCTTATGAACAAAGACAACAAGTGCACAAAATTCCAGCTACTACAACATGAGGAATGTACACTATTGCACTACTACCTTACTTTTATCTCTATGGCTAATTTCTCTTAGCTATGTATATATTCACAAGATATTGGATAAGAATCTGTGGGTTTACGTTTACTTAATTTAAATATTTCAAAGTTCAAGAAATAACTAAAAATGATCTTTGTGGTTACTTTACAAACTGGTTCTAGCTGCTCCCAAAGCACTGAAATTTTTATTTTGAAAATATGGAAAAAGTTTCAATCTGATTACATGCACAGTAGATGATCATTAGACGACACACATAGTATTAAAAACTATTTCTACTCTGATTAAGAAATGTACACATTTATGTTTATTGCATGATAAAACGTGTTTAAATTTGATATTTCGTGATGAAGCTATTTTTGGTACATTACCAATAAACTGACAATACTGATACATGTGGGCATCCAGAGAAATTCTTCTGGGGGGGGGGGGTCAAGAGCAGCATAATATATATATATATACATATGCTGAATGAATAAAGGAAGGTTTCTCATTTTCATGGGGACAAGTGAATGCCCATGTTGGTATGATAAACTTTCCTTATTGTAAATAGAAAATGTCTTAATGGTGAATAAGCAGGGAAGAGTTTGGCAAACCAACCAACATTATTTGGAATCCCAGAACTATTCATGGCTATAAAATAGCTAGAAAAAGCAAGTTTGTGTGTTTGTTTGTTGTAAAGCACAAAGATACACGATGAGCTAACTGTGCTCTGCCCAACTAGGTATTGAAACCTGATTTTTAGAATGATGAACCCACTGACTTACTACTGAGTCACTGGTGGGCAAGAAAGCAAGTACATAAAAAAATATATACTGCAAATTATTAGATTTTACATTTCCATTTCTTCCTAATTTCTGGATACGAATATTGTAACATTGACCAATTAACTTTATTGAGTAGATGGGGAGAAAAAAATGTATTTTTTTTTGGATACATGTGCCCATAGGAGTGAAACAAAAACGTTTTGCTCAAAATTGGGAACTTTAGTCTCACCAAGATGTTGAACTTGTTAAGACAAATATAATGCATTTATTTTTTCATTAGGATTTGGTAAGTAAGACATTTTTCAATATGAGCTCTTTTTAAGATCCTCTGTTTTGATCAAGATATGTTTAATGTATCTTAATGATTATAAAAGCATCATGTAATCACTTTACGCACATACATGTCTTGTGACTGGCTTGCACTCATTATAAACCAACAAGAAAAACGTTAATGCCACAAAATTGCTTATATCATCAACTTGTTATTTACAAGTCAAGATACAATGTTTTTGTCTCTTTTAATGGAACTTTCCATGAAACACAGTATCAAAACTTTATTCGTTCCAGAGTAAGAAAAACATATAAAATTCTAGTGTATGTCACTTACAGTTTGTTGTTAAAAATTAATTAACCCTTTCAAGATGGGAACCCCTTTAAACACTTTTCTGAGCAAGTCACTGAGTTACATTCAAAATTTAATTAAACAACTTTACTATCAATGTATGTTAATGAAATTAACATTAAAATGTATGTTATGGTTAAAAGTTTTATGGTATCTAAGTTTTAATTCCTTTATTTCAAAAGAAACATTTATAAAAAAAAATTAAACTTCAATTTTGTGTTGTCACAAGCCATGAAAATCCTAACTTTAGCACTCTCTGTCTTACACACAGAAAATGCCACTCTTGTAGATTTATGTCTAGATAATTAAGTACCTTTACTTGCCCTATTGACATGTAAGTTTCAAAGTTCTCTGGCTGAATGTAGTAGAAACAAGTACTAAATTTTGTCAACCCCTGACGGGTGCCACGTGCACCTTCTATACATATACTTGAACTTTATAATTTACATGCAGTTGCTACATATACATGTTTATAGTCAATAAAAAGAGCTCATTTTACACTATAATCCAACAATGGTTATTTTGAAATTGGCACTCAATTGCCATCATCAGGTAGATGTATTGCCTGCAGTACTGTTGACTGCTTTATCCACAGTAGCACTTAGTTTTTCTTAGCTACATATGTCATAATTACTTAGGGAGTTAAATTATATTTAGGTCTATCTTTTATATCATAGTCAGTCATGTATAATTTGTGTTTTAAAAATACATAACTGAAAGGTTTAAAATGTTTTAAAATATATATCGTACTTCGCTTCAGTTCTCAAGATTTAAGATCTTGTGCATATATAATGAAGATAATGTAATTACACCATAAGAGCACCACTGACTTGTGCCGAGATGAATAATAAAAGGTGAAGAAAGGAAAATAAAACAAGATATTTAACAAGTATGTAAATTTTTTTTTATTCTCAATTTTAAACATTTCATTGCACTTTATGTTGATAATATCTACAGTTAGTGATGTGGTAGAGAAAAACAAAATTATAAAAATCTACCTTAAAAAACTTTTGATATTCATTTAGGAGGCTCTATGAAATATGAAAATTATAAGATGAAGAAAAGTATTTTTACACTTAAAATTAAAATCACCTTGCACTTGAACTATTCAGAGTTTGAGTGCAAATAACTTCAATAGATAATAAACAGTTTTAGTAGAAACACTGAATTAAAATAATTCATGCTTTGTGTACAAGATACTTAATCGCATGAGTTTTTGTAAGAATACATTAAAAAATCTCAGAGTTACAGTATGTATTGTTGCACAAGTGAAATTCCCATATGACTCCCCTCAAGTTGCAGGCACCCATACCAAAAGTTTAATGTACAAAAAATGTGACTTATGTTGTTAAAAAGAAAAAAGTGAGCATTGGCAGATGCATTCATAATTTTTACATTATCTTTCTCTAATAAAAAAAAATCAAAGATGATACCACTTAAATTTCATAGTTTTTTTGTTTAGAAACAGGGTGAAGATACAACAAGAGATCAGTTTAAGTAACTCAACAATATCTCTTTTGTTGGTTAATCAGGTTTAATTTTTTATGACATAATTGGAAACAATCAAAATAGTTAATTCAAAGTTAAGTGCTAGAACAAAAATTTGACAATAACAACAACAAATAATTTATTGACTACAATATCATTCTGGTCTTGGTTTATTGTTTTAACAAGTGTAAACAATTTTTATGTACACAAAATCAGAAAAAAAAATCTTAGTTTTATTGCTATCATGCTATTAGGAAAAACAATCAAATAAACCTATATAAACACAAATTGGAGATGTTCATACTTAAAATGTGTAAAACCCTACCTTTAAATACTATATGATTAACTTTCCAATCGTAAGTCTTTTACCTTGTAGTTTTATTCTATTAGGGATTACATGCAACAATAAAACGTCTTTAAGAATTTGCATTCAAATGAAAATATCATATAATCATTTTTGAAACTTACTGGTCCATGGAAGCTGGTGTAGCATCTTTCTCATGAGGGTTGTCACTACCCTTAGTCTTCCTCCTGTGTTCAGCACGATCCTGATATCCTAACTTTTCCACAGTGTTTGACTGTTTCATCTGGTAACTGGATCTCTAACAAACATAATACTAATCACCACAAACTGTGATAAAAAACAAATAAATAAAACAACATTTGTTTGATTGAAATTCATATATTAAACTAAAATAAAATTGCTGTTCCATCAGGTGGTTTCAAACATTTTAGTTGGTGGTTGGATTAAATGCCATTTTGTAACCAACTGTACCTTCCAAAGATGATTGTGTTTAAATTATGATCTCATTCATGCATACTATAGTGAGAGAGGGACTATACACAGTCAGTTTATACAGCTGCTATCGATGTATAGTTTCCTGGCTACACAGTTTTATATTAAAATAGATGGCACTAGGAATATAAATAATTGATTAGTTCAAAACAGCAAGTGGAAAACTCGCAAATAATAATCCGGATTATAAACTCTTTGGTATTATTAAAGGCTTGAAATTGAATCATTTGATAAATTGGTAGACAAACCAGACTCTCTAAAACTTGTTCTAGTTTTATAGATTTAGAAAAAATTATATAACTCTTAATATTGTAAATTTCAAATTTTCTATACACTTGCTTTCTATTTCCCCTTAAATTCTATTATACTACAATCTTTTGTATGAGGTGCATTAACTTTATACTTATGAAATGTTTTTTAAATATGGGTTCAATAACAAATAACTTTCTCCTTTCTGTTCAAAGATTGTTCACTATATTGCAAAAATTATACCTTAATAGTTTGTCTTTACTGAATATTTACCTAATTAACCATTTTTCTTCCAAGTCAATGACAACTGGATTGTGTTTTAACCTCTTCTGATGTCACGTCACTAGGTGAACCATATTACACATTTTAAAAAGGTTAAGGGTTAAAATCATAGGCATTGCATCCCAGAAAATATTTGCAATTAGAGTGAAAATTTGGAAGTACTTTGGTACAGTGGAGGCTAATATACGAACTAAATTGGGGAAAATAAGCAGTTAAATAGATAACTTAAATTACCTTTATTTTTACCTTGAACTCTATTTTAACTTTTGGAATTTTTTTCTCAGGCTACCACGTCTTCATCTAGTCATGGTAGATCATTATTTTAGAGCAAAAACTCAAATCTAGTTAAGAAGATTGCAAACATATCAATATATTTGGGGACCAAAGTGTGTGTTGGACCTCCAGCATTAGAGATTGGAAAACCTGGCTTCCCCTGTTCCAATTACTTTGATTAAAATAATATTTACTTGCATAATTGAAAGAACTTTTGACTTCAGATGGAATAAGTCTTTATTTCTCAATGTTTTGGTTGTACAAAAACATATAACCAGAGATTTTTAAACTTACAACTAATGTTATAATACTAGTGTTTAATATACCTTCACATTAGAACATGTTATACATACAAAAATCTCTGGGTGTGTTTCTGTACTGCAAACACTTGATAAAGGAGTACAACTGAAACACTGGAAAGTAAAGTCAAAGGTCATCCAATTACTTAAGCACATCAAAAATGCTTCAGTTTTTACTACAACAATTACAAATTGAAATATTTGTTTTAAACTTGGTCTAATTTATTTGAAAACTACAACTAAATATATTTCTGATAAATTAATATTAATATAAAAAAGAAACAAGCCTAATAAAAAACACCTCAAGTCCAAATTTCCTTTTAAGTTCCTTCAATTCCTTTCTTCGCTCTTTTTCTTTCTCTTCTTTAGATTTTATGATCCATCGGTCTGCAAGTACCAGGAAAATAAAAAACAAGTTACATCAAAATAATCATAAACAAGTACTAAAATAACAGTCAAAAGTTAACATTTTCTTGCACTGAAAATGTATTTCTGATGTTTTACGAAATAAGATAAAAAATAATAATATTTCAATATGCCCCAGTAAAAGGAGAACAGGTGTGTGTAGAATTGCCACAGGAGAAAAACAAACAAACAAAAATCAAACACAAGAAGTCAAAATTTAAAGTTGAAACTGATATAAATTTGTGATCAAGCAAATCAAAATTTTGTAGTCACATGGAGAGTGAGTTAAAACACACATCTATATATTTAATCAGTATATTTCATTAATTTTATCTTTCATTGATTTTTATGTTTTATTGTTATGCATTTTCAGGGGTCTTATTTTGCATATCTTTAGAGCATATGGTAATGTTTAAAATTCAACATATATCCCATCAATTTTGAAAATAATTGAAGTATGAAATAGTTAAAAATGGGACATACAGGAAAATATGTTTTACTACCCTAAGCCAAGCATCATCAGAAAACCAATAATCGATTGATAAGCCTTTTCCACAAGCTTGTTTTGCATTGTTCTTGTACACCCTTCAATTGGATTCCCTGAGTTTAAAGCAGAAAATTAAAGAAGTGTTTTAAGATTTTGAACAAATTTTTTCATTTGTTGAGAAATTTAATCACTTTCACAATAATTTTTGCTGCCTTTTCATTGGCCAAACAAAAGTTTGTTTCGAGACTTAAAAACTTACTTAAATTTTAAGCTTAATAATGGAAAATACACAAATATGAAGTTCAACTGACAAAAAGAAAATATCAATTTATTTAATATACAGAATGAGTTCTCTAATCATTCCATTTTCTATCATTTTTATACAAATTAAAAATGCTTTTCATTACTATCATTACTAGAAAACCATAAAAACAGACTATCTACTAGTACAATGAATAGTACAGCTTTAATGAGAAACAAAACTTTATGACAAAATAACAATTGATTATAGTGATAAGAATTGTACTTTTTCCAGGTAATTCTGATGGTAAGAATATATATACATTCACATACAGCATAGATCTTGAAACCTTTTGTATTTTTAAAACTACTCTTTAATCAATTTGTGGACAGGTTTTATGAAAACATTTATATAATTAATGTTTCACATAATAAGGATAATATAAGAATAGAATTCTATATTTAAAAGCATCTAATGTGATATATGTATTCAAATGTCCTAGATGTAATTCTAGCTATATAGGTTCCACCACCAAGTGGCTGGAAACACACACACACCAAAGAAAATGCTAATAATTAATAATAAGTTCAGTATACATGAACATGTGCTTGGTAAATGTGATGTAGTTACATATCACACTATGTTTAAGATTCTTGCTAAAGAATGTGATGAGAAGAGTTTAAATATAAAAGACATTATTGATCAATAAACTTAAACCAGAACTTAAAGAGATGAGCACAGCTGTTAAACTATTAGTATATTTACGACATAGTGTTTAAATTATATTAGATGTTGTCATCTTCACAATTTCTCTATACAGAAAAATATGAGGTTTTAGTTATTAGAGAAGCACCAATCAGTAACTGATAAAGTGGTAATTTTCTGTAGTCAAATATCTGCTATTGCTACATGCAGAAAACTTAAGTGGTGGTATTTACAATATTTAATAACTGTAGTTGTGTCTTGTCATAGCTAGAATAGAGAAATCTCATATTATTCCACGATTATTTTGACCAGTATACACACACACACATTCTTCAGACTTCTAAAGATGTACATTTAGAGCTGTCAATTCTACTTGAAGGTGTACTTAATAATGAGCTTGATTTCACAGCTATAACAAACCTTTCAATGTTGATTTTTGGGCAGCTAATGCAGCTTGAACAAGCCCTGGCTCACATTCATCACAAGTCTCTTTGTTTTGATGAATGTGTATTAGTAAAGTAGAATTTCCGATTTTTAACTCATCACCATGGTTCAAAGGATGTAAGTCACTTGGCTGCTTAGGCTGGTAATAAGACAAAACATATTCTGAAATAGTGCACAAAAAAGCTGTCCAAAACTTTTACTTTCCTTCATTCAAACAACCATTCTTTACTAAAATTATACCTTTAAGTTTAAGTCTAGAGACTTAAGGAAAATCTGAATATAGATCACAAACAGAACCTTTTTTATGGAAACGATACTTTTTCTTTTTACAAATTGCGAGGAAAAATTGCACCAGCATGAAATTTCTTCTGAAAAACATTATAATCTGGATAGTGGATATATCAGGACCTCGTTTGTTAATAATTATGTATATATTTGTTGCTATCTTAAACTTCTGATATTCATTACTGAAATCAAATTGAAAAATATATCTGCTATTCTAAGGCTATTAAAGTATAATCATTCTATCTACTCAAAGGTAAATCCCATATTTTTAAGTTAGGTTTTTCTTCAGAATTAGATTATAAATAACTCAAACAAGGTTTTTCACCCAAATATTTAAATGTTATAATTTTCCTATACTGAAAATATAATTCCGATAGGTACTTACCTTCTCTCACACATATAGCTACCCTCGTTCAGTGCTGCCCTTTTTTTTCAAAACTTTTTTTTTGCATGCCACAAACCTTGCACTCCCATTTACACACGATTATTGTGGTTCCACTGAGTCTCACATGCAAATTCTCATGCAATAAGCTAGTGGCTCCCTTTATTCAATTCTACTGAACTATTAATTCGATATTAGGCAGAAAAGGAAGTACTGGTTTTAGTGAGGAAGGAAGGGTGGGAAGTGTGAGAGGAGATAAGAAATTATTGGAAATATATTTTTAGTATAGGAAAATTATAACTTCTGATATGAAACATTACCTCCTCTCAGATATATAGCTAGAATCTCACATTGAACAGGTGGAGAGACCAGTGTGAGAGCTATAAAGAAGCACCCTTTCAAAAGCCAGTTATCCATGTAGTGGTGTAAGTTTTACCCCCAAGCATGTATAAGTCAGGCAAAAGCTTTGACCACCTGATAAAAGACATACAGAGCCGAAGTAAGCCCGATGAGCAAGGCAAGAATCTGTAACACAACCCTGTGATGGACAAACCAATGATGGCATCAGCAATGATGAGAAACAGGAATCTGTATATAGTCATTCGAAATGTCTACCTTGATCATCCACAATTTCAGAGAGAAAGCCCACCTTAGTGTAAGAAAAGACTCCAATGTAAAACATGGAAGATATAGAAATCAATTGAGGTGACACAGATCGATCACAGGATGCCATTTCCTGGTGTTCTTGGGTATTACAAACAGCCTGAAGTGAAAGCTTGGGGAAGGATGGCTGACAAGCTTTAAAACTATCTGTGATAAAAGAGTCTGGACCACCTTAGACAGATGTTGACTGGTAATAGGATCTTGAGGTAATGGAAAGGATATGGGTACAGGAGGCATCGGAGGTGGAGAAAGGAATTGGATGTTCCAATTTCACCTATTGGTGAAGGGTTGTCACATGATGATTTGGATACAAGACGCAGTGGAACCACGATAATTGTGGGTAAGTGGACGTGCAAGGCTTGTGGCATATGAAAAAGTGTTTGCATACGTGCGAGAATAGCTGTATATGTGAGAGGGGGTAATGTATCATAAGGGAATTTTCAATTTCATCTCCATAAAAACAACAAAGGGAAAACTCAGCACCTAAGTTTCATAATAATTCATACCTCCGAAAGACGAATAAAATTGATGAATGTTCCATTCTGGCTCCCAAGGTCTCGAATCATGTATCTTTCATGAATCTCTTCAAAACTGATTTCTGCATGTTCCTGTAATTAGGTAGAACCATTAGCATTGTATACATCAAAAGATAATATTTCATATCTAATAGGAATGATCAACAAAACAACTCCAGTAAAACACAATCTTAATTACTGAAAAATAATATAAGCATCTATATAAAGCTAATAAACTTGATAGCAGTAAAAAACACATTTTCTTCATAAAGGTGAAATTTATACAATATAAGCTACTAAAATTGTAATTTTTGAGTTTCTCCATAACAAAAACTTGCCATTTTTTTCTCTAACCAATTTCTTTAGTTAATCAATAATTTATAGGTATTATATTAAACAAGTCAAATTAAATATTATAACACTAGTAAAAAAATATGATAATTCTGTTAAAAATATTCAACAGTATATTGAATTAATATTGCAACATAAGTTTGCTATCCTTTAAAAATTTATAAATCCACCCTTACATTTTCATATCAATCAAAGTTAGATCACACATTTATACAGACCAGAGGCTCAACAGAGTTTCAAGTACCACTTACAACTGATGATATATATTGTCTATACATTCAACTGTTGAAAACTACAAATAAATGAGAGAAAGAAGTCTGTAAAAAGCACAAGAGTCATTTTAATTAAATAATCACAATAATTCATTACTACAACAGCATTACCTTTGTCATTTCTCTGTAGATCATCATGCCTCTGGTTAGACATGAACTCATATTCTGTTGCTTCTTCCAGAATTTTTTTATACAATGTTTTTTTATATCTATCATGCCATAGTTGGTACAATTATAGGTACCATAAGGCCTATAATTGTTTTATTAGTTATTCCAAGATAATTTTAGTGGGCAGTTTTACATTTTGTACTGTATTGCTACAACTGCTTTATATATTCATTTTGTTGTCATTCCTCTGTTGTTCATCACACCTCTGGTTAGACATGAACTCATATTCTGATGCTTCTTCCAGTATTTTTTTATACAATGTTATTTAAAGCTGTCTTTGTCTTGGACCACCTTTTGTAAGTTAATGTGAATTAAATCTTCCATGGGAACACGACTGCTGTAAATCATTTAACTCACTTTAAGATGGAGTGTGAACTACTTGGATATGACTCGGTGAACCGTGTACACACATCTGATTTTGATTTTCTAGGAATTATTAAGTGATCAAGAGCATTATAAACTTTTAACTAATAACCGACTAAAAATAAAGAAAATAAACTGAACCAATTTTTATTAGATTAAAAAAAAAGAAACTTATTAAATTATTCTCTTTATCATTTTGTGAGATTTAGTGATGCATAAACACCTTACATTTATGGGTTGCCTAAGATACATAAACAAGATGTACCTCTCGGACCTATTGTATCTACTAGAAAAGCATTTAAGTATAATGTAGGTAAATTCTTAGCCTGGATATTTAGACCTGATGCATTACAGGGAGAATGTGTTATAAAAAATACAGAACATTTTAGCAACTTATCAGGTACATTAAATCCTAGTAGTTTTTTAGTTAGATTTGATGTTGCTTCATTATTTACTCAAGTACCGATTAACAAATCTAGCAATTGTGCTCTTTCTTGTTTCTTTCTTCCACGAACACAACTTTCTATAGAAGTTTTAAAACGAATTTTAATTTTTACAACAACACAAATTGTACTTCAAGTTAATCATGAATTTTATGATCAGATTGAGGGAATAAGTATGGGCAGTCCATTAGCACCATTAGGACAAATGGTTGAACAGCTTTTATATTTTTAAATTCACTACACCCTAATATCAAATTTACCCATGAGAATGAGAACGAAGGTGAGTTATTTTTTCTCAATATCATGGTTAGTAAGGTTAATAATGTTTTAAAATGAGGTATTTAGAAAGGAAACTCAAACTGATTTGTACTTGAACTGGTCATCACAAATTTCAAAAAATAGGGATTATAAAAACTTTATCAGCTATTAAAAAAATTAATTATAGTTCAAAAGAAGAGTTGGATAAGGAAGTACATCATCTGAAAAATGTACTGGTGTAGAAGAATGATTATCATATTAGTGTGGTTGAAAAACACTTAAGAACTGATAAGTTGACAGAAAAAAAGAAAAATTATTCAGATAATTTGGTTTATTGTGTAATTCCTTATGTACCTGGCCTATCAAATAGGATAAAAAGACTAGAAACAAATAGAAAAGATATATAAACTTCCAATTGCAGGCAACTTTATTTTTTCACAAGGAAAAATGAGGAATATAATTTTTTATAAATAGAATTAAACTGACTACTATTGAGAATGAAGTATTTTACAGTGTAGAGTGTATGGACTAATATTATCTAGGGAGACTGTTAGAAATTTAAGTACTGGAATATTGTAACAGAACATTGTAATGAAAAGAAAATTGTTAAAATAATTTGTCGACAACCTAATATTAATAAATGTAAAATAAAAGAAGCCATTTTAATAAAGGAATACAAACCTTTAATGAATAAAACACAAGGAGTAGGTTTATACTTATGCTAGTTCAAGTTATATGGTTGATGTCACCAATTGGGTGTACTTAAGTGTCATGTACAATTGTGCTGAATACCTGATGATGCCATGTTAACAATGGCAAAATGTTGTTTTTAAATAATGGATTTTTTTCTATCCCATTTTAGCTGTTTTTGAATTTTAAATTATGCCATGTTATACCATCCATGGGTAGGAGATGTCAAAAATATAGAATTATTAATAAGAACTTTTGAGTGATGGTAAAGAAGAGTGCAAAATATGTGAATCACACTATATTCTACTATATCTAATGCAAATAAAGTCTTTTACCCAATACCAGGTTTCTTCAAGCTGGCTGTGATATGATGGGCATAGCAGTTTGAAATGCCATTTATATGAGCAAACTGGTTGACAACAACTGTTACAACCCAGTTGTCAGTACAACCCCATCTCTGACCTCGCATTAATAAAAGTTAATAATGCAAAAACTTAATTCATCATCACTGAAACACACACTCCAAACACATAGCATGACAGCTATAGGACTTTTTAAAATATAAATATTAACACTTTCCTACACTGAAAATGTATTTCCAAAAGATTCTTTCCTCCTCTCAAATAACAGCTTTTCTCAACTTGTACTGCCCTCTGTATGCACATATATTTGCTTGCCTCTAGCCTTGATACTCCAACCTACCCTCATGTATTTTGATGTGAGGCAGCTGTATGATGGCATGCAAATGAGCATGTGACAACCCTCCACCAATAGGAGTGGGACACAACACAATGAGAAAAACCTACAAGCATGGAATACCCCATCTCAATGGTGGCCTTTACTGACCCTAATGGCCATACAGTGCAGGTTTAAAAATTAAGTATATGTGGTCAGGCAATGCTCAGAATTGGGCAAGATTCATATGTAAAAATAACCCCTGTAAAAAAAATAAAATAAAAGGAGCACCTACCCACTCATATAGAAAACATGGAGCTCAGGAGGTAGATAGTAACTGTAGAATAGGAAACAGTCAGATGATGCAGATAACATGAGATAAATTTATAAGTGGTCCACATGCCAGCACACTGACCCAAGAACATAATCGGTCCCCACAAACCTATTGGCAGGAGGAGGGAGGTGAGGGAGGAGAACAAGATATTGGTCTGAAGGTGTCTCACTTAAAGGGGAAGAGGAGGAACCAAAACAAATGGGCAACAAGAACAAAACATAAACCTGGTTGACCAACTCCAGTAAAGGAGGAGGAGGCCTGTGCTCATCCAATGGAAGTAAACGTGACTGTGTAGCATAGGATGGAGGAGGAGGAAACAGGCTGTCAAAATTGTTATCCTCTCATTCAGGCACCCTAGAACAAGACATGACAGGATAATCTTGAGTTGATTCAGAAGCCATCTTTCAATGAACCAAGTCTGTAATATTTTCTGCCAATAATTGTGTACCAGAAGCCATTGTAAACAGCAGTATTAGTAGTTGTAACATTAAACTCTGAATTCATGATAACTATGAATGGAAATAACAAAAATCCCCACAGGAAACTAAAAAAAAAACACTTAAAAAATTTTAAGACACGTAATATTAATGCGTACAAGTGAAAATTTGAGAACTGAAGTGTGGCAAACAAAAAAACAACAACAAAGTTCTCTAAAAAAAGTAACTGACTGAAATTCTTCGAGTAAAGCTTGAGTGAAAAATCATGGTAGTGAAGTTGAGCTAAGCTGCGTAGAGGGAGTCAGCTTTACTAGGAGTTGTGTTGCACTCCTATTATTGGTGGAGGGTTATCGTATGCTCATTTGCATGCTATCACAGTTACCTCGCATGAAAACATGTGAGGTAGGTGGAAGTATCAAGTATCAAAGCTAGAGGCGAGAGAAAATTTGCACATATAGAGGGCAGTACAAGTAGAGAAAAGCCCCACTTGAGGCCTCAAAATGTAGTAAGAAATTTTAGTGTAACTACACAAGCAAATAAATTGCAAGAAATTATAATTTTCCTGCACTGAAAATGTATTTCCGATAGTTACTTACTTTCTCTCACAGATATAGCTATTCTCGTTCTGTGCTGTCCTCTTTATGAATTTTTTTTTGCAAGCCACAAGCCTTGCACTCCCATGATCATCGTGGCTCAACTGCATCTCATATACAAATTATCATGCAACAACCCTCCATAAATAGGCATGCCACACACCCTCCTGTTGCATGTGACTCCCTCTATTTGATTCTACCAAACAATTACTTCGAGTTTTGGCAAAAAATGGAAGCACTGATTTTCAGTGGGGAGGAAGGGTGGGAAGTGTAAGATGAGGTAAGTACCTATTGGGAATATATTTTCAGTATAGGAAAATTATAACTTCCATACGGTACATTACCTCCTCTCACAGATATAGCTAGAACCCCACATTGAATAGATGGAGGGACTGATGGGAGGGATAGAAATAAGCATCCAAAGAATACCCAAAAGTGAGATCCTTGTAGTAGAAGGCCATATGTGGGACACTGCACCACTTCTGCACCAGGTATACTCTACACCAGGGTCATAAGAAATATCACAGACATTGAAGTAAAATGGTAGGAACACATCCAAAAGGAAGAACTGTAGCAACCTGCATTTTCATCCACCGTGACCCATAACGTGTTAGCAATGAACATGAGGCCAACTGAGTGAAGGAACAGAGACACCAGTAATACATATGTGAGGACTTATGTTGATTGGTCCTGCGTCGAATCCAAAACCCAGCCACCGGAAACTAACATCTGTGTGAGGGTAAAATGAGGGATCCAAATTGAAGGAGTTTACTAATTTTGATGGCTCACTCTAAAACTACAACAAAAACCCTATTTTAAAAAGCAGACCATTCCTGATTTATTCAATCTAGGGAATGGCAAAGATGGGCTGCTATCCCCTTCTGCTTTACCCATGAAGTCCATAGGTTAATACAGTTCAGAATGGGCATATTAACAAGCATATATATATATCGAGAAAAACCTACAAGTGATCTTGTGGGACACCCCATCTCAACAATGTGCATTTTGTGGCCGTGGAAATTATAATTAAGTCATCATGACCTTACAAAGCAGATGAGACTAGTTGAAGTATACCTGGATAGGCAACACCCACCACAGAGAAGGATCCTTGAAGAAAAAAAGGGACATGTCCCTGAAAAATATAAGGTATATATAAAAAAAGGTAACTTGACCAGTCACAGTTTCACCAAAGAATGAAGGACTGTGACAGGTGGAAGACAGTACCCCAATGAGGAAGAAACAGCTATTCGAAGCAGATAATAGGAGATAAATGGACGAGGTATAGTCTCAGTGCTCGATGGAAGTACCTCCAACGTATGATGGGGGTGAGATGCAGGTAAAAGGTAAGGTACCTGACTGAAGTAAAGACAACAGGAATTAATTATGGGAAGAAGACAAGGTACCCCAATGAGGAAGAAACAGCTATTCGAAGCAGATAATGGGAGATAAATGGACGAGGTATAGTCTCAGTGCTCGATGGAAGTACCTCCAACGTATGATGGGGGTGAGATGCAGGTAAAAGGTAAGGTACCTGACTGAAGTAAAGACAACAGGAATTAATTATGGGAAGAAGACAAGGAAGAAAACACCAATCATATCAAAAGTTAAATCCAATTGGTAAAGAAGGAACGAA